GCCGTGGCGACGAGGGCCCCTCACGAAGGCCAACTCCCGTTGTCTCAATTCGCTCTGCTCTGATTTTAAGAGTGTTGCCCGCGCTGACGGATAGTCACCGTTGCGCGCGAGCCGCTGCTGTACGTCCTTCATGGGCCCTGGAAGCGACAGAGCCATTTTTTCATCGGTTCCGTTTTGCATTTTTGTTTGTTGGTTCCTGCGCCGTTTGTTTTTCGGTTCCGTTCCGGGTTCCAATCCCAGAGCAGTTTTTCCCGGAAGCGGCGCGGGCCCAGGGTTTTCTTTCAGGGGCTTACCCGCGGAATCGACGTGCGTAGGGCCGGCGAAGTTCTTTTGCGATAAATCAAAAGATGACGTAGGGCCGGCGAATTAAGATTTTGAGGATGTCCCTAGCGAAACGCTGCTTTTTGAAAACCCGATCGGTAAGCTCATGGTAAAGTAGACATTTTTGATTGTTGCGGATGTCTCGAGCGAAACGCTTGTTTTGCAGAGTTTGTCTAGGATGTCTCGAGCGAAACGTTTATTTTATGGTATAGATTGTTTCTCTCCTGGGGACCAGAATTCAGAGGATGTCTCAGGTGAAATGCTTGTTATCACGCGTCCAGGTTGCCCAGGCAGATGTCTAGCATGAGGATGTGTTGAGGATGTCTCGAGCGAGACGCTTGTTTTCACGCGTCCAGGTTGCCCAGGCAGATGCCTAGCATGAGGATGTGTTGAGGATGTCTCGAGCGAGACGCTTGTTTTCACGTGTCCAGGTCGCCCAGGCGGATGTCTAGCATGAGGATGTGTTCAGAACCTCTCGAGCGAAACGCTTGTTTTCACGTCTCCAGGTCGCCCAGGCGGATTGCTAACATAAAGATGTGTCGAGGGGGTCTCGAGCGAGACGCTTGCTTTCACGTGTCCAGGTCGCCCAGCCGGATGCCCAGCATGAGGAGGTGTTGAGATCGTCTCGAGCGAGACGCTTGTTTACGCGTTCTCAGGTCGCCCAGGTGGATGCCTGACATGAAGATGTGTTGAGGATGTCTCGAGCGACCCGCGTGTTTTCAAGTGTCCAGCTCGCCCAGGTGGATGTCCAGCATGAGGATGTGTTGAGGATGTCTCGAGCGAGACGCTTGTTTTCACGCGTCCAGGTTGCCCAGGCGGATGTCGAACATGAGGATGTGTTGAGGATGTCTCGAGCGAGACGCTTGTTTTCACGCAACCAGGTTGCCCAGGCGGATGTCGAACATGAGGATGTGTTGAGGATGTCTCGTGCGAGACGCTCGTTTTCACGCGACCAGGTTGCCCAGGAACGTGTCTAGCATGAGGATGTGTTGAGGATGTCTCGAGCGAGACGCTTGCTTTCCACGTGTCCATGTCGCCCAGGCCGATGTCTAACATGAGGATTGGTTGAAGATGTCTCGAGCGAGACGCTTGTTTTCACGTGCCCAGGTCGCCCAGGCATATGTCTAGCATGAGGATTGGTTGAGGATGTCTCGAGCGAAACGATGGTCGCAGTAGAGTGCGTCGCAGTCCAGCACCGCCCGTCCGTTGGGGCATCCCCTGGCGCGCTGGCGCGTCCCCTGGCGCGCCCCCTTGTGACGTTCTGGCGTGACGTGCCCTGGCACGTCTCCTAGCACGCCACTCGGCGTGGCACGTTCCCTGGCTCGTCCTCTGTCGCTTTTCCTGGCTCGTCCCCAGGCGTTTCCCCTGCCCGCTCCGTGGCGGCCCCCTTGCAACGTCCCTTGGCATGACGTTCTATGGCCGCCCCGTGGCGCGCGCCTTGGCACGTCCCGCGGCAGGTCCCTGGCACGTCCAGGGCACGTTCCCTGATACTTCCCCTGACACGCCCCCCGTCGCATCCCCCATTGCGCCCTTGACACATCCTGTGGCGCGTCCGCGAGCCTGTGCCTCGTGTCGTGCCGCTTCTTCTCGGAGCTGCGTCGGATTGTGAGGTCGGGTTGGTTTAACGTCCTTCACGCTTCCACTTCAGCTAGCCCTGGGGCAGCTACTACGCGCTCAGGCAGCTCGAGCTTAAGATCCAGATCAGTTCGGTCAGGACTCGGATGCAAAGGAGGACTCGACCCACAACGCTATAGAGCACAATCGCGGCATGGCACATCGCATTTCAGCACGGCCCAGCACAGCACAGTCCTTGGCGCGGTACATCAAGATCGATACACTCAGCATTGCAATTGCCCGTCGCTCAATCAGGTGTCTTGAAAACGCTGCCACGCCTAACATTTCTAAATTCCTTTCCGGTTTCGTGGGCCGATCATGTTTCGGAAAGGACAGAGGCCCATAGGCCCATGGCTTTCTTCTAATCGTTTTGATCCCCGGCCTCGATTTGCGCAGCGCCAGCGGAATTACTCTTAGATAAATAAGGAGGCCGCTTGGGGCTGGCGGACTACAGGTAGAGGATTTTTGCGAGCGAAACGCTGGTTTGTGGCATTCTACTTGGTAAGACATAGGGAAGAGCACACATTTTCGTTGTGTTGCGGATGTCTGTAGAGAAACGCTTGTTTTGCAGAATTTGTTGAGGTTGTCTCGAGCGAAACCTTTGTTCAGTCTTATTGATTGCTACTCTCATGGGGACCAGAATTCAGAGGATGTCTGATGCCAAATGCGTATTTTCACGTGCCCAGGTTGCCCAAGGGGGTATCGAACATGGTCGCCCCTGACAGAATCATTTGTCTTCGCGTGTCCAGGCCACCCAGAGGGGGTATCTAAGATGGTAGTCTCGAGCTTGAACAACGTTGTTTCACGTGTCCAGGCCGCCCAGAGGAGTATCTAACATGGTTGCCCCGTGCTGGAACCACATGTTGTCATGTGCCCAGACCACCTCAGGGGGGGGTATCTAACATGTGGTCGTCTGGACGCCCCCACCGTGGGAGGCCCACAAGAGCCAGACGAAAACAACGCATCGACACCAGATGTGTGATACCCTGACACAGTTTCATCGGCGGGTGATTCTCTAGATTTCCCAGTGAGGTATCGATCATGGTGGTCCCGAGCTGGAACCACGTTTTTTTCCACGTGTCCAGGCCACCGAGAAGGGGGGTATCTAACATGGTGGCCCCGAGCTGGAATCACGTGGTTTCACTTGTCCAGGCGACCCAGAGGGATATGTAACATGGTTGTCCCGAGCTGGAACCATATGTTTTTACTTGTCCAGGGGCATCTAACATGTTGTCGCCTGGGAGTGACACAGTTTCGTCGGCTTGTGATGTTCCAAACTTCCCCCCTTCTGGAGTATCTAACATGGTTGTCCCGAGTTGGGGCCACGTGGTTTCACGTGCCCAGGCCGACGCGAGAGGTATATAATACGGTGGCCCCGAGCTGGAACAGCGTTGTTTTTGTTTTTGGTTGTTTTCTTATAGTACGTCCAGGCAGAAGGGGATGTCTAGTTTTGTGGTCCCGAGCTGGAACCACGTGTTCTCACATGTCCAGGCCACCCGGAAGGGGGATGTCCAGCATTGTGGTCCCGAGCTGGAACCACTGTGTGTCCAGGCCACCCAGGGGTACCTAACATGGTGCTCGCGAGCGGAAGCCTTGTGTGTTTACGCGTCCAGGCCGCCCAAGGGGGGGGGTCTAAGATGGCGGTGTCTCGCCCCTCGCTGGAACCATGTGTGTTTTTCATGTGTCCAGGCCACCCAAGGAGGTATCTAACAGATGGCCCCGAGCTACAACACGTGTTTTCACGTGTCCGGGCCGCCCAGAAGGGCTCTCCTGGGGACCCGAATTCAGAGGATATCTGAGGCGAAATGCGTGTTTTCACGTGCCCAGGTCGCCCAAGGGGGTATCGAACATGGTTGCCCCCTGATGGAACCATTTGTCTTCACGTGTCCATGCCACCCAGAAGGGGATATCGTGTTTGTGGTCTCGAGCTTGAACCACGTTTTTTCACGTGCCCAGTCCGCCCAAAGGAGTACCTAACATGGTTTCCCCGTGCTGGAACCACGTGATTCACTTGTCCAGACCACCCAAGGGGGGATCTAACACGTGGTCGTCTTGGCGCCCGCAGCGTGGGGGCCCACAAGAACCAGATGTGTAATAAGCTGACACATGTTCTTCGGCGGGTGATTTTCCAGATTCCCCAGTGGGATATCTAACATGGTAGTCCCGAGCTGGAGCCATGTGTTGTCACGTGTCCAGGCCACCCAGGTGGATATCTAACATGGTGGTCCCGAGCTGGAACCATGTGTCTTTACGTGTCCAGGCCACTCAGGGCGGTATCCTACATGGTGGTCCCGAGCTGGGGCCATGTGTTTTCACGTGTCAAGGCAGACCAGGGGGGTATCTAACATGGTTATCCAGTGCTGGAGCCACATCTTCACGCGTCCAGGCCAAACAGGGAGATATCTAACATATGATCGTCTGGCTCTGCGCCTGAGCAATTTGTGAGGGTGTCTCGAGCGAGGGCTGCGGAACTGAATCGGATCGTGCGCTCGAGCTGGTCCAGCGCTTCGCGCGTCTGGATTGCAACTAGCCCGAGCTATGCGTCTATGCGTTCAGACAGCTCGAGCTTCAGATCCAAAGCAGGTCGATCAGGATTCTGACGCCAAGGACGGCCTGACCCACAATGCAACAGCGCACGGCTCAGTTCAACGCGGCATTTCCCTTGGTGCGTCCCTTGGCACTTCCACTGGCACGTTCCGTGGCGCGTTCCTTGCACGTCACTATGCGGCGCTGCACAGCGCAGAGCAGCACAACACAGCCCTTGGCATGATACCAGAGCCATTGATATCTTCAGCATTTCCATTGCCCATCGCCCAATTGAGGTGCTTGGAAACGTTCCCATGCCTCGAAGTTCTAACTCCCTGTCCGGGTTCGTGGCTCGATCATGTTGTCCCCTTTTCCGGGTATTTTACCCGTCTCATGTTCCAGAGGCAGTTTGCCTGAAAACGGCACAGAAACCGCCGTGCTGGTCCCAGGGCCCACGAATTTGCCCGAGCTGGCGAGCAGCCACTCTTGCGCGCGAACCTCTGCGGCACGTCCCCGCCCCCCCCCGGCCCTGCAGCCAGGCTTCAGCGGCAAGGGGCCTGCGGCCGCTTGCCCGGCGCCGCCCGGGCCCTGCGGGTGGAAGGGGGGGTTGTCGTCGTCGTCGTCGTCGTCATCGTCATCGTCCTCCTCCTTCTCCTCCGCCCCCTCCTCCTCTTTCATTTCCTTTCTTAATAATAACTAATTCCTCCCTGTCGCACCCCCAGACGTGTCGGTAGGGCGGGCCGGGCATTTCTCTTGAGACTTACTCCCCACTGATCGTCCTGAACTTTTGAAGTTTGTAGGGGCCTCAGGGATGGAGTGCGGCCCTTTTTCCCGGAAAGGGCCGAGGTTTCTCTTTTAGTTGGTAAAGATGTCCCCGCTGCCTCTACTGAAGGAGACTGGCGGACTCTTTCCTTGATGAGTGACGAGGTCGAAGGAGGCCGGCGGATGACGGGAAACGACTCTGGCGTGGACCGTTTTTAATGATTATGTTCAATGCTATTTTGCTAGTGGCACTTGGAAATTCGCTGGCGGATGACGGGAAGCGCCTCTGGCGTGGACCGTTCTTTTATTATTATATAAAAAAGTAAGTTAACTGTTCTTTACTAGTGGTTCCACGCTGCACCTGTGAACTCGCTGGCGGATGACGGGAAGCGTCTTTGAGGTACGAGACGGTGTAGCTCAATTTGCAACATGTGTAAACATCTCTTAGTACATGGGGTGGCTGATCGCAATTTATTTTTCGTTGGCGGATTTTGGCGTCTTTTATCGTGCGAGCGATTATGATGTCTTTTCGTGTTTGCGGGGTTGCGAACCCCCGCGCAGCATGATCATCAGTCGATGGCGAGACTTGTCATGTTTCGTTTCGCTTTTGCGCGCCATCGCTAGCCGAAGTTCATTACGCGGGAGGGCCGAGCGTTCGGTGGCGGCACGACCACCATGGAGTTCCGTGTCGCAGGATGGTTACTATGACGGGAGCGAGCCAGTGCACAGCATATGGAGCTATCACCGCGCCCGCCACATGGACAGGGCGCGCTCTGCTGCCAAGGCCCAAGGCGAGCTGGGCCTAGGGGCGGTGGCCTTCGGCGCCTTCGGTCGCGTCCTGAGCTGCTTCGCGACCCTCCCACTTCCTTCCTCTCATGTCCGGTTCGCCCCTCCTTTTCCCCCTTTCCAGATGGCCTTGCGTTCTCTGTCTTGCTCGTCGATATGTTCCTTGTCTTCGTCGGCGCCCTCCCTCCTCTTCGCCCTCATCCCTCGTCGTCGCTTGTTTGTGTTATTGCTTTGCGTTATCCCAGTCGCGCTCCGCTCCTTCGTGTTCATCGTCGCTCTTTCCATTGGCCTCCTCGTTCGCCGCGCCCCCCCCGCCCCCCCTGTCGCCCCCCCTTGCGCGCCCGCCCAAACCCCCCGCCCCTTCGCCGCCGGCCCCCTTCCGAGTCCTCTTGCGTTTCTTTTGCGATCTTCGTTGCGTTTCCCTCCATCGGGTTCGCCATGCGTTCGCGCGTCTGCTCCGCGCCCATTTGCGCCCGTCTCTTCCACGGCTGCCCTGGCGCCTTTTCCGCATTATCTTGTCCTTTGTCTCCGCGCCGTTGCCTCCTGACCCCCCGCCCGTTTTCGCGTTCCCCTTCTTGTCCGCCCTCAGCCAGTCCCCGCCGCTAGTGCCCGTCGCTCTTCCGCCCGCAGGCCCCCCCTCAATCGCGGGCGCGTGTGGCTCCAGGGCGACGCGGGCTAAGCCGGGGCAGTCGCGTCTTCGCGCGCGCGGGCCGCCCTCGGTCGTCGACGTCGTCCTCCTCCATTTCGTGCCCGCGCAGGTGGGGATATAGGCGCCCTTGCCGCGGCGCGTTGTCCTGCGCCCCCGCGCGCGCCGGCGCCCGCGCCGACGTGGCCCTCGCAGGCGGGGTGCTCTAAAATCGTCGTCGTCGCCGCCCCCCTCCTGCGGGGGGGGGAGTGCCGCGCTCGGAGCGCCGGTGGCGCGTTGCGCGGTGCCCCCGCGAGCAGCAGTGCCCGCGCGGTCGTGGCGCGCGCGGGCGGTCTGTCTCCAACTGGTCGTTGTCTTTGTCGTTGTCATGGTCATGATTTCGTCGTCGTCGCCTTCGTCGCGGTTGTCGCCGCGTTCGTCGTCGCCGCTTTCGCGTCGGCGCAAGAGCAGGTATAATGCCCCCTGGGCGCTTCGTCGTGAAATGGCGCGTCCGATTCGCATCTTTCAGATTTCAAATAGAAGCTGCATTCGCGTGCAGGTTTGGGGGGAGTTCGGCCCGACGCTCCGCCGCCAAGATCGCGAGCGCGGCTCGCCGCTGCGAGCGACAGGACCTGCTCGACATCGCAAGGGGGCGCAAGAAGCTGGAGCTCCTGGCGGTGCCGCTCTTCAAAGGCTGGGAAAGGCTGCCATGCAACATGTCGTGCAGTCTACCCCGGATGGCTCCGCGCCCGTGTCACGGCCCAATGTTTTAACCTCCTCTGCCAGACCTGGCTGGCGGGGGAGAAGGTGGCGAACTCGCGGGGCATCGCGGCGCTTGCCGAGAAGGGCGATGCTGCGATCTGGGGCTGGGCAAGCACGTGGTTCTGCGGGCCCCCGAGGATCGCGGCGCCCTTGAGCTTTGTTTGGCCTCTCCTCTGCGCCGCGCCCCCTGGCGTCGGCCATTGCCGCGCGCGATGGCGACCCTCGTCAGCCTAATGCCCGACATGGGCGACTCCACCTAAATCGCCGACTTGCGGCGGCACCCCCATGTCTCGCGCATTCCTATCCTGCGGCTTCCAGCGAGGATGGATGCGGTCGACCTTCGGGCGGGTGATCTTCTGCGCGTCTATGCGCTGCTGCTGCGCGGAATTGAGGGCGCGGAGGCCGCTGCCACGCTGCGCCAACGCCGGCGCAGCCACCTGATCACGCCTGCGATCCCGCGGGCGTGCGTCGACGCCCTCTTCCCGATGGGCCTCGCCGACCTTGGCGCCCGAGCGCTTTTCCAGCGTCTTCGCCGCGCAGCGCTGCCCGCCAATGCCTCCTGGGCGCAGGAGGACATCTACGGCGCCTGCGACTCCTTCATCTGGGAGGCGCCTCCCCCCCAGCAACTTGCCCCGCGCCTGGCCTCTGTGATCGCAGATGTCGGCGCTCTCCCGAACGGGGCCCTTGGCGGTCACGGGCGCGGCGGCGCCGCAGTGGGCAGCCACCGCAGGCGCGATCTCCAGGGGAGCCAGCGCGGGGATTTCTTTCCGTCCGAAGTGGAAGGCGCCCCGCAGCGGCGGCAGGACAATAGCTGCGCCTTCCGCCACCTCGGAAGCGCTGGCGGCCAGCCGCCGCTGCGGCACCGAGAAGAGCTCCAACGTAGATTGCATCGCGGACCTGATCGCGACGGGGGAGTTGGGCAAGGAAGACGGCGAGGTGATCCAGCGGATCATGGCGCACATCAGCAGGGCCACGGGTTTTGTCCATCTGCGGGACCGACCGCAGTCGAGCACCCCGACTAGGAATGCACGCCCATCTCGCCAGGTTGGACACGGCAGCCCCACCAGGGCGTCCGCGCCCCCTCCTCCACGACAGTTCGGAAGGTCCGCGCAGCGTTGCATGGCCAGACCGCCCAAGCGGGCGCAGACTACATCGGCTTCCGCGTGGCCAATGAGATGCCGGACGCGCAAGGCGCGCCAGGAGGTGCGGCGCGCCGCCGCCATTGTCTAGGTTCTGCCACTCAGGATTTGCATGCTGGAATTCAGTTTCAGACGTCTGCAGGTGCATCCGGGCGGCTGCTGGGCGCTGTCATCCAGCTTCTCCCCGCTTCGGCGGGGCCGCGCTGGAGCCGCCATGGTCGCTCTCTCCGTTGCCTTTGCGCCGCGCTTCAACTAGTCTTGTTCTCCTCCGAATTCGACTCCAACTCCCTCGGCGCTTTCATCCCTCGACGTCTACGACGACCTGCGGTTGCTGCCCAACCTGCCGCGTTCCGTTTTCGGCGAGTTCGATGCGCCACCTGAGACATTTTCCACGATGGCACGGCGCTGCCTGGACGACGTGCCGGCGCGCCTTCATCGCCGGCAGCGGCTTCATCGAGCGCTGGGGCTGCTTGGTCGGGAACGAGCTTTTCCCCCGGCGCGCGCCTCGCCTGCCCCGCCAACTCTTACCTCGCAGGCACGCCCTGGCCAGTGCCGCGGGGATTTGAAGATGGCCGCGCGGGGCGCTCAGGCGTTCTTCGCGAATGGCGACAACCGTCGCGCAGCCAAGTCCAGACATGCGTCGGGCCCCCCCGCCCGCTGCGACATTCTTTTGATCGCCGAGGCGCGCGGCACTCCTGGACAGCTCCAGGCCTGCCTGCCTCCACTAGGCCATTCCGCCCGGTGGTCCGCTGGCTGCTCCACTGGCCAGGCGGGCGTTGGCCTCGTCGCAAAGAGCCAATATGTCGACGAGTTCGACGCGATTCGCTGGCAGGAGCCATGGCCAGGGAGGGCTGCGCGCTCGTCGCTCCGCGGGCGGGAAGGGCCACTCGACGTCATCGTCTGCTACCTTCAGACAGGAGCCGCCACTCAGGAGGCCGATCTCTACGGAGCCCCTGAAGAGTTGCCGCCGCGCTGCGCATCCGCCCTGGCCGCGCGGGAGCTTCTCCGCCAGTGCTCGAGCCGAAGCGTTGCCGATCCGAACGTCACGCCGGCGGCTCTCGGTGGAGACTTCAATTGGGCCCCGATTTTGCGGGCCGACGGTCTTGCAGCGAGGCTAGCTGGCTAGCCGCGCCAGCCACCTGGATCGCGGCAAAGAAAACACGTATTGGCGGTTTTTGGGCGGCGATTCGGGCTGCGCGAAACGCGCCAATTTTCGATGATTTACGCGACTACCTGCTCCCGCTCTCGCTTAGACCGCACGTATTGTGACTGGCGCGTGGTCGAACAACTGGACAGGCATGTCAAAGCCATCGCTTTGGAATAGAAGCCGCGTCTTTCGGACCGCCGGGCGGCCCTCTTCTGCCGCCGTCTGCGGCGCCGGTGCCCTCAGCGAGCGCGCTTCCTCGCTGACGACCAGATCCATCGCGTCGGCCTTCGCCGGGCAGGCGCGGCTCGAGCATGGCCGCCGCTTGGTGCAACGGCCCAAGACATTTTGCATCGCCAGCCTGCAG